CTGGGTTGGTTTTTTTTTTTTTTTGGTCTGTCAAATTTCTTTTTATTTTATATTTATATTTGAATGATACTTTTACCGGGAATGTGAATTAGCAATTTACAGGCTTCATTCCATTGTTTCTGGCAGGCAGTTCAGACAATGCTGTCATTGTTCCCTTTGTTCCTCTGTATTGTGTGTGTGTGTTTTTCTCCGTTGATTATGATCTACCTTAGTGTGACTATGTTATTTAAAAAAATTTTTTTAATTGCATGTAGTTGATGCTTTCAGTGCTAGTATTAATGAGTATTTATTAACTGGCAGTTAATGTTTTACAAACTATCAATCCAATAATATTATCATTGAATTAATTGAATAATAATTTTCTAAACATTAATTCAAAATCTTTTGGGGACTTTATGACCTTTCTCTGTTCCACAATCTTCTTAGGGCAGACATAGATTCTAGTGATGAGAGTGACGTTGAGGAAGATATTGACCAGCCCTCAGCTCATAAAACCAAGCATGACCTGATGATGAAAGGTGAAGGTAGTCGTAAAGGAAGTTTCTTCAAACAGGCTAAAAAGTCTTATCCTATGTTTCCTGCCCCAGAAGAAAGAATTAAATGGGATGAATATGGAGAAATTATCAAGTACGTGAATAAGTTTTTCTTTCTTCTAGATTAGACTGTTTGGTGTATAACTCTCTGTATCATTAGAACTCGATAAATTTGGCCTTTCTGGTCATGTCATGTGCTTTGATAGTTTCTGAGTACTCCACAGAGGATTTGTATAGTTTGAAACATAAAAATAGAAAGGATGAGGAACATCTAGAGAATAAATATATATGTATTTTAAAGTTTGAGAGAGTGAAAGAGAGCATGCACACGTGAGCATGAGAGTGCATGCAAGTGGGGGAGGGACAGAGAGAGAGAGAATTCTGAGGGATCTCAGCACAGAGCCCGATAGGGGGCTTGAACTCATGAACTGTGAGATCATGACCTGAGCCGAAATCAAGAGTCAGGTGCTTAACCAACTGAGCTACCCAGTTGCCCCTAGAGAATTAATATTAAAGGCAAATTGTCAGGTTTATTAGTTAGGTATGTGAAAGGTTCAAAAAGATGACCAAAATCCCTCCCCCGCCCCTTAAAAAGAAAGGGTAAGGGACATGCATTGGAGAAAGACATAGGATAGGGAGAATTTTTGATAGATTGTGATGTGTGAAGTTTGGGAAATGGGTTACATCTCAAGCAGTTTTGTACACATTTTAGTTCCAAGAGGGATGTGAGATAGCATGGGTGGAATCATGGGAAGTCTACCAAATTTACAGCCACTACTGGAAGACAACTGAAATTACGTGTTCAAATCCAAGTTTGAAAACACTGCTATCCTGTGTAAAGGTCCCTCATAGTTCCCATTGCTCTGCAGGCAAATGTCAAATGCCTTAGCGTGACGCATGGTGTCTTTCATAATCTGGTTTCTCCCGACTTTTCTGTTATGTTTCTGTATATTTCTGTCATGCCATTGAGCATTCTCTGCTGTCGTGGTACCAGCCTTCTCTGTTTCCTTCTGCTCGGCTTCTCCATGTCATGCTCCTGCACATGCTCCTCCCTCAGCTTTGTTCCATCTTCCCGTCCCAGGTCTCCAGGCGGTTGAATCTGGCCTTACAAATTTCTGGAAGCCTTTCCTGTTTCTTCCTTGCCACCCCAGTACAGTCTAGGTCCCTCCCTGGTGCCTTCTTTGTACTTCCCGTAATGCTCTCTTAAGCATATAGTGGATTCTAGGTCATTCTTGGACTTACTTAGGAAAATTCCCCTGTCTACTTGGTCCTCTAAAATAGTGGAGAGGAAAAATAACAATCTAAATAACATTGGTGAGTTTGTTTACCATTCTACTTATTCTACTTAATTAGTGTCCAATGTTCAGTTTTCAATTTCCTTATCTGAAAAGTGGGGGTAAGAATGAAATGGGATTGTGTTTTTAAGGCATTTAGCATAGAATCTGACTTGTGACTCATGACTCCTAGTGAGCGTGCTCTAAGTGGTTGCTACTACTATTGTTATTATGTGGATTATAGGTGGAGAAGTTGGACTCCAGTGTCTGAGAAGCTCCTATAATAGTCTAGGTGTTGGGTAACAGGGGCCTGGATTCTCAGGAGTGGGAGCAGATTTGGGGGGTGGGGCGTAGACAATTTCAGGGGGTTAGAGAGAACATTTTTAAGTTTGTTTTTAAATTTTAACATACAACTCTCTCTGATAGTGAAAGTAAACATGGGAAGATAGATGCATTCGTGCTTTGTTGAAATAAAGGCAAAGGCTTTTGAGGGAGCTCATGATTTTGGATCTCCGTCTTCTTGGTAATGTGCCAGTGGGGAGTCATCTTTGGGTAGGGATAGAATAACTGGGGCTCTTAAGGAAATCAAAAGAGGCCTGAGATTTATAAGAAGTGGGACTTGGGAAGAGAAACCACAGAAAGAGAAAAAGAATGATCGAAATAAATGCAAGGCCAGGTTGTAATAGTACTTTTGATAACCTCCTAATGGTCTATCTAGGACTCTTTACTAGCCCAACAGCACGCTCTGAAGAGCATTCCTCAGTGGTCAGGAAAAACACAATAGATGCAGTCATTTGGTAATTGATACTACAAAGTTGCATTAGCTTTGGATCAATTGTGTATTTAAATCTTGAGATATGTGAGGAGCCTAAAACTTAATGCCATTTACTAAGTACATATATTATCTAATATTAGCTTGCTTGTTAGTGCTCTAATTAGAGACTTATATAATTTAGACCAGAGGATTTCTTAGTGCCAGAACTTCAAGCAACTGAAGAAGAGAAAAGCAAATTGGAATCTGGCTTGACAAATGGAGATGAACCCATGGATCAGGATCTATCTGATGTTCCCACTAAGTGTATTTCTACAACAGAGTCTATTGAAATAAAGTAAGTGCTTTTTGTCGCGTTTTGAAACTAGGTTACGAGATAAAATTTCAAGAACTTGAATTATATAATTTACATTGTTTCAAATGTGAAATTTCTGAATATCCTCTAGTAAGTTGTTGCTTTTAAAATTTAATTTCTTTTTCCCTGCAAAGGTCTGTGAAGCATGGTGGCATTTTGTTTTCATTAATGGTATTTGAAAGCCAATGCAATTGAATTGGTATTGAGGTAGGGGTTTAACATTAAACTCTACATTTATATGAAGAAACATTCTGGACTTTTTAGTAAGTCTAGTAGCACATGTTTAATTTTTCTAAGTGTTTGTTTTGTAAAATATACTCCTTGACTTAAACATTTCTAGTGCCCTAATGTCTGAAAAATGTTATTATAATCTGAAGTGGTTAATATACCTTTTTCCTTTTCTATTTGGTACAGTTAGTAACACCAGTAATTCATCATTTTGGATTTTTCTTTAAGTCTTTAGATAGCAAAGCAGTTTATTTGTCCAGTGATATTTAGCATATATTATGGGCTATGGTTGTTATCTAAATAATGCATGTTAACAGTGTCACAAAATTCTCTGCAGAATGGCTGTATCAGTTTATACTTTCACTAGCAGAGCAGAAGGCTTCTTTCAACCCTGTTTCCTTACCAACATTGGGCATTATTGAACGCTTCAACATTTTCCAGCCCAATAGGTATAGAGTAATAACGTATCACTACTGTTTAAGTTTGTCTTACAGTGATTATTAGTTTGATTATCTTCTTCAAATGCTTGGGACCTTTTTTGTTTTCTTGTCTATGAAGTCCCATGTTTATGGCCTTCATGTCTTTTTCTCTAGGGGTTGTTGCCCTTATGTTACTGATGTGCAGGGGTTCGTTGTACATTTTGGATGTTACCCCTGCTTGGTTTCAGACAATGCAGATAGCCTCTCCCATTCTGTTATCTGTTTATATGAGTGGTCCAGGGTCTACCTTGTTTAAAAAAAAAAATCTTTAATTTTGATGTAATGAAATAATAAAATAAAATATTTTCATTATGGTGTTTGGAATTGTATATAATGAAGTCCCTCCCTGTCCCTGGTCACAAACAGAATTCTTACATTTTATTCTATTGAATTTAAATCTTCACATTTTTCTTTTATGGCTTCAACTCACCTGCTGTTGTTTGTGGCATTAGGTCAGCAATCGGTTTTATTTTTCTTTATATAGTGAGCCACTTTTTCTAATAATACCTACTGAAAAATCCATAACCCTTCCCCCTCACATGTACATACACTGTAACGTGTATTCCTCAAATCCTCATTTTATGTATTGTATACATTTCTTTCCTGATTATAAAAGCCATTAATAACTTGGTTTTAAAATTATCAGAAAAACAAGCTCAGATAATTCTGTCTAATTACAGAGCTAGGGTTACTTACATAGACTATGAAGGACGCTCTGATGGAGATTCCATTAAAAAGATCATTAATCAGATGAAACCACGACAGTTGATCATTGTCCACGGACCACCAGAGGCCAGTCAAGATCTTGCCGAGTGCTGCCGTGCATTTGGTGGGAAAGATATTAAGGTGTACATGCCAAAGCTACACGAAACAGTTGATGCCACTAGTGAAACTCACATCTACCAGGTAAGCGTGCTGGCACCCGAGCCATGTGAAATAAATACATTATTGTTGCAGATTAGGACAGGTACATTAGGAGTACAGGGGTGAGTGAGATAGATGTGGTCCCCTGTCTTAGGAGGTCTTCTAGTCTTTAAGGTGTTAGGGGCTTATAACAAGGAAAGAGCATTTATCACATTGTTATGCCTCTGATAGAGAAAGTACAAGATGTTGTGAATAGGGAGGGAGAGGGAGACACTGCCCCAGAGAGGGACACTCCCCAGAGAGGGAGACACTGCCCCAGATTTGGAGGTTTAGAAAAGATTTTCCAGAGGAAGTGATAACTAAGCTGAATCCTAACATGTTTTGACGGGTTGTCAGGGTAACGTAGAGAAGGGAAAGAGAGAGAAAGGGTATTCCAGGCAGAGGGAACATTTGCAAAAGTATAGAGGTGACGGGAATGGGGAGTATTCAAGAATTCAAAAGTTTTATAAAAATTCACTGATGTTGGGGCGCCTGGGTGGCTCAGTCGGTTGGGCGTCCGACTTCAGCTCAGGTCACGATCTCGCGGTCCGGGAGTTCGAGCCCCGCGTCGGGCTCTGGGCTGATGGCTCAGAGCCTGGAGCCTGTTTCCGATTCTGTGTCTCCCTCTCTCTCTGCCCCTCCCCCGTTCATGCTCTGTCTCTCTCTGTCCCCAAAATAAATAAACATTAAAAAATAAATAAAATTAAATTAAAAAAAAAAATTCACTGATGTCAAGGTTCTATTCATACTTGAAAAAAATGGAAGCAGATACAAAAAAAACAAAAACAGAAAAAAAACGAGAATAGCACAGAGGAGAGATTAGCTTTTTTCTGGTAGCAGGAGTTGGTGTCAGTTAAAGCAGGGATGATGTCTAGATTTAGTTGGAAAAAATGGATTGGAATTCACCAGGCAGAAAAGTTACTCTGGATAAAACAAGAGGAAGCAGCAGTCCAAGAATATGGATGTGTGAGGTTCATGGTAATGGAGGAAACAGAAGTAATTCAGTGTTCTTGAAGCAGCAGCAAGGGCTGATGGGTGAGACTTGTCAGTGGTTCTCAACCTTGGCCACACATGAGAACCATCTAGGGAGCTTTGGGGGTGTTAGGGGGACTCAGTGCTCTGGTTTTAGTCTCATCCATTATGTTAGAATCACTGGAGGTGGGACCCTGGCATTAACACGAATTTTAAGAAATTGCCATGTGGTCCTAGTGTGCAGTCAAGGGCCTAGTGTGTCTACTTTGGAAAGTAGACAGGGGTCTTAATGATCTCATGGGTCACTAGGTCCTTACCAGTCACGGTGAAGATCAGGTGAGTGAAAGATTTTTGAATCTTAACACACATTACCAGAGTCAGGAAATAATTATAACAGGTTATATTTTGTTGTTAATTTATACTCTGAGGATTTTATGTGTCTCCCTCCCCTTTGTATGATGTGTAGGTGAGATTGAAAGACTCACTTGTCAGCTCCCTTCAGTTTTGTAAGGCAAAAGATGCTGAATTAGCTTGGATAGATGGAGTCTTAGACATGAGAGTTTCCAAAGTGGACACAGGAGTTATCTTAGAAGAAGGAGAACTGAAGGATGATGGAGAAGACTCGGAAATGCAGGTGGACGCTCCTTCGGACTCCAGCGTTCTGGCACAACAGAAGGCCATGAAGAGCCTGTTTGGGGATGATGAAAAAGAAACGGGTGAAGAAAGTGAGATCATTCCGACTTTGGAGCCCTTACCCCCCCATGAGGTAACAAGCACGTCCCGCTTTGGCCTCTTCCTTCATTTGTCTCCCTTTGGATTGTGCTTTTATGTTTTTAACTCTTTACAATATGTGTCCAATGTAGGCTGATTTTGGAATTTTAAAAATAAGATGACTCAAGATATGGTTATGTGTTTGCACGCCTGAGCGTGTGTGTGTGTGTGGGTGTGGGTGTGTGTGTGTGTGTGTGTGTGTGTGTGTGTGTGTGTGTGTCCTAGACGGCAAGGGCTTGATAACAATTTAAAGGAAATGTTTAACAAATATTGTAAGATCCATGATTGCTTCGTGACTGATTTTTTTTCAGTATTTAAATTTTGTTTTTGTTTTTTTTTTTTTTTAAACGTTTATTTTTTATTTTGAGAGAGAGGGAGAGAGAGAATCCCAAGCAGGCTCCACGCTCAGTGCAGAGCCAGACGTGGGGCTCGATCCCATGACCGTGAGACCTCAACCTGAACCTGACGCTTCACCAGCTGGCCCACACAGGCGCCCCTCAGTATTTAAATTTTGGTTGTGAGGATTACATCACATACCTGCTTCCAGTCAGGAGAGCTGTAGTTTTCTAAGACGGTGGAACTCCTGTACTCCTATTTTCGTGTGTTGTCAATTCCGCTGAAATCTCTTTTGGTTTCGATGTAGTTAGAAATCTTTTATTAAGTATGGCTATAATTTTAATCTAGTGTTTACGTGTTCTCAAGAGATAATCCAGTTAGCAGAGATCTCAGGTAATTAACTTACAGCGGTGTGAAAACTGTGTAGTAAGAGGCCCGTGTTCATGCAGGGGCCTCTTTAGCCTTTCTGTGCAATAAAGAATAGAACACAGCCTCTGTTGTTGGACTCCCTTCTAGTAATGCTCTTGAGATTGGGGCAAGAACTCGAATCTTTTTACTGTGCTAACGCTAGTGCTCATCAAGGCAGTTTCCAAGTAGCAGCGTTAGGTTGAACCGCTTGTTTTTCTGAGTCCAAAGCCCCTGGCATACACTGCATTCGCCTCAAGGGAGAAGGGAAGGTGAGACTGGGGTCAGGGGAGAACTCTCCTCTGCACTAAATGAAGGAGGAGAATCTGGCAAATGAATTTTTTGGTTCATTTCTGCCTCCTGGCACTCTCCTTGACCCCCTCAGGCAAGTGGGTGAGTGACGAACATAACTTTACCAGATGTCTCTCTGTTACTGTGAGGCATGACTAATAAAATCGATTGGGAAACATTCAGAAAATGTGAAGGGCTTTGTGGTGTTAAGTAAAATAATGAGGGAAAATTCAGAATAACAACTTGGAATGGGACTTACAGCCTTGATACGATCTGTCAAAGGTCTTCAGGGAAAAATAGAAAATATCTTAGAGATCATGTGTTAAATCTCACTTTATTCGGTACCACTGTGGGTCTGGTGTTTTATTTGAGGTTATTCTTTCCCCTTTAACCTTATCTAAGGTTCCTGGACACCAGTCAGTTTTTATGAACGAACCAAGATTGTCAGACTTCAAACAAGTTCTTTTACGGGAGGGGATTCAAGCTGAATTTGTAGGGGGCGTACTTGTTTGCAACAATCAAGTAGCAGTCCGCAGGGTAAGTGTGTTTTTAATAAGGGATGAATTGAAGAAACGCTGCCTTCTGATGTGTTGCCCCGTTGAATTCTGTAATTCTTGATTGGTAATTTCACCAACTGGAGATCCATAATTTATATTCATTATGAATGATGACCTTGAAGGCTTATAAAAGTGGCTCTCAAAGAAATGATATATAGTTTCATTGTAAATTTTTATTTGAATCCTCTGACATTTACATGTCCATGTAAAATTCATGACTTGAATGTTAGATCCATATTCTGTGAATCAGAGCAACCCATTTCCAGACCAATCATCAAATCTAATTAATATATTTTGGTTATTATATCTGCATATTAATGAATAGGAAATGTACTAAAGGTTTTTTTTTTTTTTTTTAACTTTCTAGACGGAAACTGGCCGCATTGGATTAGAAGGCTGCCTTTGTCAAGATTTTTATAGGATAAGAGACCTTTTATATGAACAGTATGCCATTGTGTAAAGAACGTGATGTCAAGAAGTGTCTGTTTGACCTTTCTAAGAGAAAAGGGTTCTTATTCTAAGCTTTTGCTTTTTTGTTTTGTAACATACAAAAAAGAAATGCCAGAAAAATTTAACATGCATTAGATTTTTTAAAAATGTAAATAGAGTTCGTTTTGCTAATGGTCAAATGAGCATTCTACCTTTTGACTTTCAGAATGATAGAGATTCTAACAAGTGTGCAGGCCGGAGAGTTGAAGATGATTGGTTTCCTCTATAGACCCCTTATTCTAGAAGGGCTTTTTACTTGAATAAAACAATGCAACTTAGCAAACCAGCTCATGGCCTTAGAGAAACATGTTTGCATGAGCTCTTGCAAACGGTTTCTTACGTTTTCTGGAATGAAAAGTGAGAATTATTTAGAAAAGATGTGTGTTATATAAAAAAAACTGATGAAACGGTTTTTTGAGGCCTATGTGTTTAAAAAACAAAAAACAAAGAGTGTACACTCAGACTTTTCTTTGGAATTCTGATATGCAGTTGGGGCATATCTCCTTATCCCTGCCTATATTTCCTGGGTATTCACTCTAGTCTGAGCTGGTACACATTTGGGTCAGGAATCAATTTTTATTTCTCCCATTTCCTGTTTCATCAAGATTTTGTTGTTTGGTATGAATTATAACAGCATCATTTGAATATATATAATGCAAAAGAAATCCTTGATGTATGCATTTAGATACATCTTAGCTCTCAGCTAGGTTACTTTATCAGAAACTGTTGAGCGCTCTGTTTTTAAGGAAACAAATGCTGAACCACCTATTTTTATAAGGTAATAGTATAATTTAATCAAAAGGTGTAAATGTTTTCATCTCTTAGGCTTGCTCCTTCCTAGGGTTGCTGAAGCAGTGGCTGGATTTTATAACCTTGCTACAAAAATAATACTGAAGTTGGATAAGGTCATCCTTTCTTGTGTTCCTGTCTTTCTTCGGGCTAGCAGCCCTCACGTAGTATAAATCACTTGTGTTTAAGAGTAAAAGCTGAATATATGCAATTCTCATTGAACTTAAAAATGAAAATCGTGTTGCCCAATTGTAACGTGTTGATGCTTTTTCAGTGCGTAACTTGATCATGGCAGTCCTTGATCTTTACTTCCTAAGTATTTAAGCCCTCCTCTTCATACTTAGCGTTTTTAGAAGGATCATTCTTGTTTAACTTATATGGATCTATGTATAGTACCACCCAGTGATATCAGACTAGAATTAAAATTTCATTCAAAGCTTACAAAGAATTTACTGTGGATTATAGTGCTAACGCAAAGTTATAGTTTTCTGATCCTGAAAACCAGATATGCAGAACAACATTACAGAAGATGACGGTGAAGAGTATGTTTTCTTTGTAGAGCTTTGAAAATTTTTCACTTAAATTCTTGTTACTGAAGAGAGTAAGCCTAGAATCCTAGTTATATTCCAGGGGAAAAAAAGTCTGCATTCATTACATGGCTTGAAGCATCTGGTTATACATATTACATTGCATTCCCGATATTGAAAAATTGTTTCTTGCTTTAGCCTTTTTATTGTCCTTTGAAAAGGAATTAAATTTTAAAGTACTGCTTGAAGATGGCTGTGCTAATTAATGTCATTGCAAGAGCAAGACTTTGACCTGTTTTTAGAGGACAGTATTACTAAACTTTCTAAAATGAAGACATTTGTTCAGCCTTGGTTACTTAAGAAAAGTATAAATTTTAAAAAGGACTATAGATATAAATCATGAACGCAGAGAACTTTTTCAGATCTTTGTTTAAAGGCAAAATAAATACAAGTGGACCATCAGCTTATATGTATAGATAATTTGGTTAAAAGAAATTTTATTGTAGCATTTGTTACAATGAGATTATAAATGTCAAGTTTCATTACAGTTTTTTTTGTTTTGTTTTCATGAACCAGTAGGTGTTCTGAAACAGAAGTGCAGAGGTCAATTTTCTAACAAGGGCCTTTAAAAAAAATTGAGCTCTAATTCACATACCGTAAAATAACTCTTTTAAAGTATATAATTAATTGGCATTGAGTATATTTAGTGTTGTACAACCATTACCACTAGCTCATTCCAGAACATTCTCCTCTCCCTCAAAAGAAACTCTATACCCATTCCTTAGCAGTCACTTCCCGTTTTTTCCTTCACCCTAGTCCTAGGCAACCATCAATCTCTTTCCTGCCTCTATGGCTTTGCCTATTCTGAATATTTCATAAAAATGGTATCATACAAAATGTGGCCTTTTGTGTCTGACTTCTTTCACTTAGCATATTTTCAAGATTCGTTGATACTGTAGCATGTATCAGCATTTTTTATATGGTTGAATAATATTCCATTGTGTGGGTACACCACATTTTGTTGATCCATTCACGAATTGGTGGACATTTGGGTGGTTTCTACTTTTTGGCTATTATAAATAATGCTGCTATAAGCATTCCTATACAAGTTTTTTTTGTGTGGAGATGTGTTTTCAGTTTTGGGGGGTAGATACCTAGAAGTAGAATCGCTAGATAAATGATAGGTAACTCTTTTGAGAAACTGTCAGTTTTCCAAACTGTATTTCCAAACGATTTTCCGAAGTGCCTGTACTATTTAACATTCCTACCAGCAGGGAGTGAGAATTCCAATTCTTCTACATCCTCAGCAACACTTGTTACTCACCTTATTTTTTGTTTTAATCGTTCTAGGGTGTGTGAAGAGGTATCTCATTGTGGTTTCGATTTGCATTTCTTTAATGACTAATGATGTTGACTGTCTTTTCTGTACTTATTGGCCATTTGTATGTCTTCTCTAGAGAAATGTCTGTTCAGATTCTTTGTCTAGTTTTTAGTTATTTCTTTTTTATTGTTGAGTTATACGTTTTTAAATATAGTTTGGATACGAAATCCTTATCGGATTTGTGATTTGCAAACATTTGCTCCTATTCTCTTTTTCCCTTTCTTGATTGTGTCCTTTTGAAGCACAACATTTCTTATTTAATTTTGATGAATTGTGATTTATGTTTTTGGTTTTGTTTTTTTTCCTTTTGGTTCCATGTACTGTTGGTGTCATATCTTAGAAACCGTCGTTTCATCCAAGGTCACAAAGATTGACACTTATTATTTTCCTAAGCATTTCATAGTTTAAACTCTTAAATTGACATCTTTGATTCATTTTCAGCTAATTTTTATATGTTGTGTGAGGTAGGGGTTCAATTTCATTCTTTTGCACATGGCTATCCAGTTGTCCCAGCATCAGTTGTTGAAAAGACCAGTTCCTCATCAAGTTATCACCATTGTTGAAAATCAGTTGCTCGTAAATGTATGAGTTTGTTCTGGGACTCTGAATTCTATCTCACTGATCTGTATATATCCTTATACTAGTACCACATTGTCTGAATTTCTATAGCTTTGTATTAAGTTTTGAGATTGGCAAGTGTGAGTCCTCCAACTTTGTTCTCTTTCAAGATTGTTTTGGCTTTTCTGGTGCTCTTGCATGTCAGTGTGAATTTAGAATCAGCTTATCCATGTCTGCAGAAAAGCCATAGGGAGAGAAAAAGTAGTTGAAATTTATAACTTAAAATCTTAACTGTTATGGCTCAGAGAGACTGTGGAATTCATCTAGTTCAATTCACTTATTTTAGTATTGAATGAATGGGCCTCGGGAAGGGAAGGGATTTGCTTGAGAGCCTCATAGCAGGCCAGAGAGGGAGTGGGACCCAGCCTTACAGAGTCTATTCATTCAGTACTAAATGAATGGATCTAGAACCCATTCAACACTAAAATAAGTGTGTTGAACTAGACGAATTCCACAGTCCCAACCATAACACTATGAGATATCAAGCTGTAAACTTCAACTACTTTTTTTCTTCTGCATTGCTGTGTTTCAGTTCCTTTGTGTATGTTCACTTTGCTTTGGGTTAATATGTTCAGTTGATCTGCTCTGAGAACAGCGCCCAGCACCTGCTAACCTAGGACAGTAGCATGCTGAGGGAGAGCTTCATTTTCATTCTATATGATGGCCAGTAAAGGGGAGGGGGTGTTACCTTCTATACTCTTCTTTGGTTGTAAGTTTCTGGTGGCTTATCTCAGGGTTATCGTCCTTCAAATATTGATGAACCGATGACCACTTATGGCTGGCAATCCAGTGATTGAGAGGTTAATTGTCTTGGTGGTGGTTGTTCCTGGCCACCCCCAAGCCCCCTCTTTTAGCCATTCGGTAACTACAGAATGAACGTGTAAGTGCAGATGGGGTGGGAGCGAGAAGGAACGTTCAGATCTGCCTCCCTGAGCATGGATGGAGGAGGGTGTTTTTCTTCTTTTGATTGTCTCTCACTTTTGACCACCTCAGTTGTGTCTATGAGAAAATACCAAAATGACCAAAATAAATAAACCTAGGACTTTGCTGGAAGCAAGGGTAGCTTTGCTTTTGTCCTTTTCCTCCTCCTCCCCCCTGCCCCCAACCCCTCTCTTTCTTGGTGCTTTTCGTTTGTTGCTCAAGACTATTTCATTTTAATTCTTGAAGTCAAAATATGATGTCAAGGAGCAAAATAGAAGTTTGGAGGGTTTTAACTTTCTCTTCATTGTAGTTGAATAGAACCAAAAGTATATATGCTTTTTTCATGAAATTGTTCATGGATTCCATGGGTCCTGCTCAAATTTTTGATTCTGCCTGATAAACTCCAGTGGAGAATATATGAAGGATTCATGAAGACCTAACATCATTTTCTGGTTTTGTTGATGGTAATGTCCAATATCCAATTCATCGTATTTCCTTTTCTCCCTCTAACAATTTTTTTTAAGGCACTGCTAAATTGTGTGTTTGCCACTAGTGAAGCCCTTTGAACAGATCTCTGTGGGAAGCTGTTCGTATTCCGGGGGTGCTGCTGCTGGTCTTGTGTTTAATATTTTGGGAGCTCTCATTTCTTTTTGGATTCATTTACCAAGCTTATGAGAAATGTAAATTATTTTAGAAACAACTTGCAGTCTTGGCCCAAATGACATTACCACTTGA